TATCTTCTTAAAATTTTTCATGTAGAAAAGATATCTTAATATTCATTTTATCTAACTCCAAATCCTCCACGGCAATCAAACAAGTAGAACATGAATAGAGGTATGTTCAACAACATGTGAGCAAACATCATTGAAATCAACATCTTTTAAGTGACTATAGCGCTTTGGAACCAATCGTACGTCATAATTTACTTCCTTAGTTCCTAAAATTCCTTTTTTTTTCTTAAAGACCATTTGTTTCCAATAGTTCTTTTATTTGAAGGCGGCTTCATAAAAAAAAAAACCCAAATATTGTTCTTATTGAGGTATTCAATTTCTTCATTCATCGTTGTTATCCATTGAACATAATCATCACATTGAATTACGTTTGAATATGTGGAAGACTCACTGTCTCCACCTATTTTTTCTGTAATAGACAATGCATATGCAACAAAATCTTCATATTGTTGTGGAGGTTGAATATGTATATGTAGTCTTCCAGTGGCTATAAAATGTCTCTTCTTTTATACTTTCAATAGTAGCAGATATTGGAACATTAACTAATGTTCTTTCACTCCAGAAGCACAACCAAGAAAAATGTATTTCTTTGCCCGAGACTTTAATTTTCATCATTTACATGCATATATGATGAACACCAAAAAATTTTCAAATTAGAATAATCAACGGAGATACCTAACCAAACTTCTTCAGAAGTTTTGAAGTTAAGAGCAATATTTGGAGAGCGGTTGGCAATATAAGCAACCATGTTCGTCTCTTCTGCCTAAAAATCTTTAATTAGCCCTGCATTGAAGATCATGCTTCTTGCTCTTTCGAGGACTGTTTGATTCTTCTGTCTAGCCACGCCATAGTTTTGAGGTGTCATCTTGACTATGCGATCCCGAAAAATTTCTTCTTTCTTGCAAAGTTCATGAACTCTCCTCCACAGAATTCCAAGCCAGTATTGGTTCTCAACTACTTAATCTATTCATTTAATTTTTACTTAAATTACAAACATATTATTACACATATAATTACTTTATACATATAATCAAAGGTAAAAAATGTCAAAAACTCTTATATATTTTCATTAATTAATAAAATAATATTATTTTCTATTACAAAATCCAAAAGACCCTATTGAATTGAGACGGGAGAGTACAACGTTTTACCTTTAAAAAAAAATCTATTTTAAATTTTTTCTTATTATGAAAAATAAAAAACAAAAACAAAAAAAAAATTACACACCTCGTTAACTGGCTAAACTAAATGAGCCTATTATTTTAAGGGGCACTTGGGTTTAAATTTCCCTGAGCTTAAAAATATTTAAATTCAGTCCCTCCTCGTTCTGTACTAGCACTACACTCTTACTTTTTATTTTTAATTACACTTGACTCTCTAATACTCATATTACCATATAATATGACGAATATTGTGTGTACTTCCGTTATTTTTATATAAACATACATTATCTAATTATGTACTTCAAAATTATCCCGTTATACTAAGAAAATGTCAGAGTCATGTGCTTGAAATTTTTGTTTATGTATTAAAATCAGTTACAAAAATTTAAACTAAAAAATAAGACAAAACTCTAATAGAACCCATTATCTGAAGTCATTGATGTTATATTTAGGAATCTCCGCGGAGCCTCCCAGAAAATACCCAAAACATAAGCTGTTGACGTTTAGGGGCAGCGAGCGAGGGGAATGGTTTGAAATAAATATAACATCAATGACTTCAGATAATGGGTTCACGTAGAGTTTTGTCTTATTTTTTAGTTGAAATTTTTGTAACTGATTTTAATACATAAATAAAAACTCTAATATAACCCATTATCTGAAGTCGTTGATGTTATATTTAGGAATCTCTGCCGAGCCTCCCAGAAAATACCCAAAACATAAGCTGTCGACATTTAGGGACAGCGTGCGAGGGAATGGTTTGAAATAAATATAACATCAACGACTTCAGGGTTCTATTAGAGTTTTGTCTTATTTTTTAGTTTAAATTTCTGTTAACTTATTTTAATACATAAATAAAAACTCTAATAGAACCCATTATCTGAAAGCTCTACAACTTATGCTATTTGGGTATTTTCTAGAGTGTCCGAAAAAGAAACTACATTGGCATCGGTTGTGGGTGATTATGCATATGTTTGAAATCGAGTCTCAGTCATTTAGAATTGGCTATGAAATGGAAATAAATTTTTCTGCTGAAAAATTATTTATAGTTCTTAGATTACACTCGACATGTATGTGTCTGAGAATGTTATTATACGATGTGAATTCTCGTATGAAGTGACCTTTTAAGTACTGATGGTGTTTGTTAATATCTTTTATCATATTATTGGTTGTTCATGTGTCTATTTTGTCATGATCCACAATATGATATATTGTGTCAAATCTATCTTACGTAACATTCTCATCCACCCTTGAATACATAAACAAATGATCTCAATAATTGTTTCAGTAGTATTGATTAATAAACAAACACCAATATTCGATGAAATAACAATGATCTATTCAACCTATAACCGTCTCATCTAGTCATAATCAATGAAACATTTTCGATAATCGCTTAAATACCGATATTTATCAAATTGATACCCATATAGCAATATAAATATTTCTATAAGCAACGATAAAGCTTGTTTATTAAATAAGTATACATTGGGTTACACTCAATATACCTCAGGCACATAACTTCATACTCTTAAAACAATTGTAAGAACTTCGTATAAAAGTTTAAATACCTATATTAATCAATGTAATTTTTGTTAATATAAATTTAGGTAAACAAATGCAATATTATATAGGCCATGTAATCAATAACTATCGTTTACATATACGCATGAGTAACGCATCAATGATTAATATGTTCCTTAAATTGTAGAAAGATCGAATATGACTCATGTGTAACATTTACTCAATATACCTTATAACACTTTTCTTTTGCTTGGAAATTCCTCATACTTTAAAAAATGCTTGTAAAACAACCACAATACATAGAACATCATATGTCATCAGTTATGCACTAACTCTAAAATATCTATTACCACGGCTCACTACATGATATGCTATGTCATATATATTCTAAGTGATATTCTTATCCACCCTTGAATACATGGGTAAATGATCTCATAAGTTGTTTAAGAAGTATCCGTTGATGCACGTTAACTTCCAACAAGAAATGTGTGATGTAATCAACTCGTAGTTGTTTGATCCATTAACAATCAATAACAAAATATGGATCCTTAAGAACCCTTGTTTACAATAACTTGCAACGTAATTTCGGTATGAATTCATATACTGTTAATTTTACTTTGAAAGAATTAATATAGACTAATACGTACCCCAATATAATAGTTGTGTACATCCAGTAACGTATAGTTTAGACTAATTTCCAAATAATTCTATAGTGGTCTTGTACACAGACCTAAATTCAATGTACAATCTTCCAAATAGAAAAAGAAAATTACAGTTACGAGAAACACACCAGCAATACCTACAATAAAGTCTCATTACAACTTCGTCGATTGTGTCCTAGACAACCATAACGATGCTTGTTCATCAAAGACATCACTTGTTGCCAGATGAAATCAAGAATCTAGAAAAAAAAGAAAAAAACAATGACCTTGTTGAACGCATCCAATTATTCCACGACTCGACTATATTGTTACTATTATCCTACAATGAGTCCATTAGAATAGAAAATTCGCCTGATACTAGAGCTGCGATTGTGTAATGAAATTTGAGAGAAGTGGCATAGCCTCTGCAACAGATGTTATATGCTGCTCAAAATTCTTCTGTAGGTGGACATAACCGATTTTGTTGAAAATGAACATCCATAATTTCTTGTTGTGCATTGGATATTTTCATAGTACCTATACGAATGATAATTATGTTGTTGTACATGTTATAATAAATGAAAAATATATTCTACACATACCCAAGTGCGAAAGTTGACCACTAAGTACTGAGGAAAGTATCTATGATGGACTTTGAGAAATAAGACAGAGATGGATTTTAGAAGTCCTGAATATCTATCCAAAAAAATGTATTTTTTTCAATTTTAAACAATCAACCTGAAGAACAAATCTTAACTTCCAGCAAAATTATTCTGAAATTTTATCATTTTTGGTAGACATCGTTGCATAGAAACACGGTTTTAACGTTATCCAATATACAAGTACATAAAATAAATACAAAGGTTCATATATGAGTAGTCATAGTATATATATCAATAAAACCAGCACATTTTCAAACAAATACAACTTAGAATATCAGACAACAAGGGTACATGATAAGTAAATATAAGTATACTACACCATAAAAAAATATCTCGAAAAATACCTACGCATACCAGTAGAAAATCGAAACAACCCCCTCTCCCCTGACAAAGCTTTTCTCCTGTACATATTGTATCTACGAAAGGTCATAATGAAACTCATTTAGCAACTACTGCAATCATAATCTCGAATAGGAAAACAATTATCAAAACAATAGTTAAATATTTACCTGGTTGCGAGTCCTAACAATACCACCGTATTCAACAAAAAAAATTACATTAAGAGAATATTTAGAATTAAAATTTTCCCTTACCAACGTCTTTTTGCGTGAAATAAACTTGAAGATTAGAAATTGGATTCGGAATGGAAACTTCCCCTTACCCGTGTCTTCGGCATCACAGATTCTCCATCAATCATACGCGAATGAACCTGCAAGTTAGACAGAAATACTACATCGCGAAAAAAACCTAACATAGAGAGATATATTATAACTGATAAAATAAATTTTAGGGATGAACAAGGGCAATTTTGAAATTCACATTAGAGGATGAAGCTAATGCCAGTATTTTTGTAAAAGTGGAGAGTGCAGTGTGGATAAGAGAGTAGAGACTGAACTTTTAAATTAAATTTTCGTTATTTTAATGATAAAGAGAGTATATAGATTTATCTTATGTAACAAAAATACAAAATATAAAAGGGCAGTGATTAATAAAATCGCTATTCCGTAAAATGCGAGTGTCAGCTCCAGTTCCAGGTTTCAAAGCAAATAAGCGGATGAATTTGCGGCTGATATTTCAAATTCGAAGAAGGAGATATATATTATTATTATTATTGTTATTGTTATTATTGATATTATACCTATGGATATTCGACTTCGAATAATCGGAAGGCTTTATACTCCTCGTACTTTATGGACTACGGTAAATCCGAAATTTCTGAATCCGTGCTGTGCCAAAAGGCCGCCGCCCAACCAGAATGGCACTGAAAGCAGTAATAACAGTGAAGGTATGTGTGAGTAATTATTATTATAATTATATATTTCCAGATCGAAATAATGCCTATCAAATTCGATTGTAGGCGAAAATAATTCGTGAATTGTCATTTTGAGGTTCGAATGAGAAATCATTAATGCTTGGTCTGGTTAAGTATTTGTGGTTTTGTTGATCTTCTTCGCTATTAATCAAATCTAGGTTTTACCACTAGTTTCTGAATGAAGAAGAGAATAGCATTGGAATGGTAACTGAGATTTTCGTGAGAATATCATATATCATATCATCATTCAGTGGCTGGCTGAGAGTGAGTTCTTAAAATTGCCTGTCGTGAGTATTAATTAATTATTAATCACAGTTAGGGGATTGGTTAGGCAAGCAGTTCAGTTCATATGGTTGTTTTGTCAATTTGGACAACCCAACCCAACCTTGTCGGTATGAGGAGCTCACTGGATGAGTTAGTTGCATTTACATACTGAAAATGTATATGTATAACCCAAGAAATTAGCGCTATGCCAAGATTTGACCCTCTAATAATGAATGGATACTTGTGTTTTGATTTGTTTTAGATTTTGGATTTAAATTATATTTGATGATGAGATGATAAATGTATTTTTTTGGGAAAACTAAATAGTAAAATTTGAGGAAAAAAAATTCCAAAGACACACTTAAATTCTCTAAGTGCAAGTGTTGAGATTGTTTTTTAGATTAGGAATCAAAACCTTAGAAATCTTAAATCTTGATATCTTGATTATGCTAGCATTGGAATGACCTGTGTATAGAAATGCCACTAACTTCAGTTTTATCTATGGGCATTTTAGTAATGCTGTCATACTTTGAAATTTCAAGTCGATTATATGGGAGATGTTATTGTACTTATTGGGGGATCAACATGGAGCTAATTTTTCCAATCAGCACTTCATAAATAGGCAAAAAAACACACTCTTATTTGTATTATATTAATACATATGATTGTGTTACTAGTTGTTATATAATTGTTGTTGGTACTATCCTGAATTTAAAGATTCACTAGAGTAATATATATATAACAAAGGGTGAATAATTGAATACTATGTCTGTATTAACACAGACAAGTCTGCTTAACTTAACACAATTGCAGTTGCGACACTTATTAGACTACAATACTTGCCTTGTTATATTTGTAGACGAAAAATCCTCGACAGATTGGGATAAGGCTTGGTCCCGGTTCAAGAAGGAAGGGAAGAAGGGTTTGTTTTCAGATTTCTCACCAAATAAGTATGTTAGCTGGAATCCGAGGCGTTCGGAATTCCCATTGTCAGAGGAAGTTGATCCCATCAAAAGAACAGAGAGGTCTAATCTCATGTTGTGGACCAGCCCTAAGTTCACTCTCTTTGGTGCAATTATTATAGTTGTCTTTCTTTTAGTATATGTGTTATCAGTACCCAACAAATGACCCCTAACTCCCCAAGAATTGATATGTGATCACACTTGAAAACATATTATTGTTGCATTGAATAGATTCAATATAATATTTCATGTTAAATAAGCATATCTTCTAAGCCTCAATATGTAATACAATCTAAGCCTCGAATTCTTTGAAGTAAATATACCATGTCTTTATCATGGGGATGGTTACGGTGCTGATTTTAAAAAATCAGTATCATGTTGATTTTTCACATCAGCACACGTTATATATACAAACAACAAACATTAGTATTACACGCAACCATGCTATCTGTAATAAAGGTATGTACTGTTTTTTAATAATAACAAGTGTGTTGTATACAAGTATGTCATGTGTTAAAATCAACTGTTGTGTGTGTTGTATGAGACTATATTGTTAGTTCATGTCCTGTATTTGTATTATATTAACAATATACATGTGTTGTCTGTAGTAATACTGTGTGTTGTCTGTAATAATATTGTGTGTTGTCTGTAGTAATACTGTGTGCTGTTGAGACTATAGCATGTATGTTTTGTTCATATGTTATATTTGTATTATATTAACATATACAGTGTGTCGTTTGTAGTACATAGCCGCCCTTTATCATATATACCACTGACAACATTTATTTATTACCCACAGGAGATAATAAATATGAGACAACAGAGATTCCCAAATAATCAATCATCTGTTATGTGACCTAACCTAATAGAATTTGTATCAAGTTATATGGAGTATAATATAATATAAGCTCCTACTGGCACTGCAGCTCGAAGCTAAACCTAAATCCTCAATGATATAGAACACACTCACCTTGACTCGACTCGACTAGATACATACAAGTAGTGGATGATATAGGGAAGAAACACTAACTTGTCCCTTGTCAACAACTTCCGAGTCATGGCTGTAGTTGACTTGACTTCACTGGATCGGTATCCTCAGGCGCAAGCAAAATAATGTAATTGTTTAACCCAGGCTGGCTCAAGCTGTGTTGCCTGGCTCGTTGATTGTCAATGTTGTTCTGGTCAGGCTAGCTTCCAATTCATTCAACTCATCAATGTCAAGATCGTCGTTGTCATCCAGATCGTCAACATTGTCATCGGCATCATTTTCTGCACCACGTGTAGTAGATGCAGAAGAGCTTGGCCTAGTGGATGCAGATGAAGCTGGCCTATCAACAAGGAGATCTTTGTTGACCTGAATGGAAAAATAACATCAGCATAGCTCTCAGGGATGGAATAACATAGTACAATATATATATATATATGGATATATGTTTATTATACATATATTCCTTTTTGTCTGTCCACAAACGATATGTACTTTCCATATAGAACAAAAATTCTTTCACATTTATATCTTTCAACATTACAATTATATACAAATATGTTATAACATATATATACACACTCAATTTATCAAAAATATTCAAAATGAGCAAAAATTTTGTGGGCGGAAAGCGTATTATATAACAAATAACAAATTTAAACTGTGTTTTAACTAACTTATAATTTTTTATAAGAAGAGGAAATAAGTAATCAAGTTGTGAACTACAAAATTTTGAGACAACAATGCAAGATGGGTTAGAATGTAGAAAGCAAGCACAAACTAAGCTTGCCCATAAATGGTTACGTCACTTGAAAATTTTCAAGCCACAGAATAGAAAACAAGAATGGTGAATTGGCAGCAACACTAACATGAAGTGAGATACTCCCATCCCATAGATTCTGCCCAGCACAGACTAAATACAAACGGAGTCTACTGCAAGTATACTGCGTCAAAACATGTTTAGTTGTTTAGATTTCTTAGATCAGGACAAGATCTATTTTCATCATAATTCCAGCCAAATATGTTATATATCCACTAAATTCATTAAATTCCAAAGTTCAAATAAGATTATAAGGATAAAGGAAACAATGAACCAATACCTTCTCATTGGAAAAAGGTTCCTCTTCTCTTAGGTATTTATCATAGGCTCCAACATCATCAACAAATATGCTAGAGTCCGAAAGGAACAACTCTCGACCACTGAGAAAATGAAAATTGAATAAATACTTCTTTCCAACAGGTATGCAAGTGTATTAAATATCAATGCATGGATTTTCTTAAGAAGACTTGCCTCATGCGGTCATTCTTAGCTCTATCCGCACTCTGTGCCGCCAACCGTTCTTCTCTGTCCTCAACTTTTTTCTTCTTCCATTGCATAAATAGCTCCGGAGTCATGGGAGTTGCAGTACTTATTTTTGCACGCTGGAAAACAGGTTAGAATTACTAGCTTCAAAAATATATATGGGTCTGAAGAGGTCGCAGAAATCTAATGTAACAGACGAAACTGCGACAAAGACAATACAGAAGAACAGAAGCACTAGCTATAGCTTCAGTTTTAAGTAATACCTGGTTTTCTATCTCTTCCTCTATCGGTATTTTTTCACTTTCCTCCTCTAAAAGAGCCTTCATCTGCGATTTTAAGAGATATCCAGGAGGAAGTGCATGTCTATAATGACAATCTTTACCACCATTTGGGCAGACCCAAAACCAACCATACTGCTTTTTCTCCACTGCTTCCAGAAAGTATTTACAAACCTGTCAAAATAACATGATCAAATACCTGTTCAACTGTGATGTTTATAATAGCAACACAGCAAAACCCCAACCACCCAATAACGTTTCAGAAGGGAAATTAGCAAATGAAAACGGCTGGTAAAATAGCACAAACGCAGTATGTTTTATGCTCTACTGAAGTTAACTTTCTTCCGCCAACATCAGTAATGTTTACTCAAGTTTCACTAACCAAATGAGAGAACTTCATTTATTTGATATTACCTCCACCTTGCTTGGATTTTCCACTTGTTTGCGCACAACCAAACCCACCCATCCACTCATGCACGAAAATATATGTGTATATCCATGCAATAGAAATAAAGTTAAGCCTATGAATATAAACAACTCGTCCACTGTAAAGCCTCTGAGAAGGTATCCGGCATATTAGACCAGTGAATAAATGGAATAAATTGATGCACAGCTATTCGTAAGAGCAGCTGTGAACCTACGACTTAAGTTGGCTAGGACATTTTGGATTTGAAAAATGAACTTAAATTACTAAGAATGAATTCAAATCTAATGCAATTAAGAAGATCCAAAGCATAATAAAGCTGTGGGTTTGATATCCCTCCTTTCAAATCCTTAGGTTGGTCCCACGTTTATTATCGGTTCCATGAACATCTAAACCAACCGCATTCGTTGGTGACAGTTAAAAGTAAAGAAGAACCAAAATTTGACCTAACGTAAGCACTCGCTAATGGCAAATGACTTTACCAATAAGGGAATACAATCTATCTTCACTGAACTAGAATCAGACAAATTTGCATTTTATGTCACTTCAACAAATATCAGCTCAGTTCAAGTATTCCTTCACCTCATGCATCTCATGTGTATCTGAGGATATCTCACTTGAGAAACACTAAGATTCAACATTTAACAAATAATTCAACAAAGCAGGGGTCAAGACTCTCAACACAAATAACTCTACAAAATAGTTTAATAATTCGGCCACATAATCAAAGACTACTTACTATATCAGTAGGCTTATTCTTGTTATACTCCTTGCTTTTGGATTCAACGACCTTCTCCAGCATCTCTTGATCCCAGTCCTCCATTGTTTCTTTTTCGTTTTCGTTTTGATCCGATGCAAAAGACCAGAAAGCACAAAACAATCAGAAAAAAATAACACCTTAGCCAATATATATATATGTGTGTGTGTGTGTGTGTGCGCGTCTGTGTGTGTGTGTGTGTGTGTGTGTGGGAAACGAATCACTTCATAGCAAGTTGATAATAACCTTGATCGCGCTTATCAGTATAGATATCTATCTTCTCTCCTTTCCTCTGTACATTCAAGTCGTGAGAGAATTTGCATTTAAACCCTTTTGCACATTGCCCCACCTTAAAATGTTCACACACAATCGACTTGGGATCAACACCTGAAAGAAGAACGCTATAATATTAGTCCTTTTGGAAATTCAGCTGTAATATTGATAATCAACAGTTTCACCATGCATAGAATCCTTTTAACAATTCTTCCCAGAAACCACATGAAATAAATAGTAAAAAAGAAATTACCAACAGGAACTTTAGGCTGTTTAACAGCAACTTTGAAAAGCTCATTGAGCTCCCTCTCTTTAGCCTTCTCTTCCTCTATCTTTTTCTGCTCACCCAAAAATAATTAAAATCATCAATCGAAAGTATAAAATATAAAACAACGAATTATCAATACGTAAACGCAAATCCTCACAAAAAAATGAAAAAATAAAATAAAAATCAATGTAACAGATTAGTGTAGCACCTTTGCGTCAACTTTCTTCGGGTCAGGTTTGGGCTGAACAGACTGTTTGAGAGACTGCACATATTTCTGAACATTCTTCGACTTATTTTTGTTCTTCAATCCAAATGTCTTGTCCTCGATTATCTTCTGCTTCTTAGCCAAATCCGCCTTCGATTGCTGCTTCGGAGGCATGATGATCAACTTTCAATATGCAATATATCGTTCTTCGATGATCGATAAATTAATAGAATTCGACTGAAATAAGCGCCACGCCGGTGAAATTGGTGTCGCCGGGGGAGCAGGAACGGTGACGAGCTCTGTCTTGGTTGTGACCTCTTGTGACCGACGAGATGGTGGTTCTGGTTCGCGGCTTCGAGAAGCAACTTTTGAGGTGAAATTCCAATCTTACCCTGAGTACGTGCGTTTTAATATATAGAGAAGTAACGGGGATTCGGCCACAGTCCGCGAGCCGGTCCAAAGGGGACAGCCAAAATTTTAATTGGTTAAACTAAACTTGTCCATTCGGTTCCGAACATGCGGTTTTCGAACCGGGCCGCAAACTGAACCCAAAAAGAAATTCCAGCGATTCGGTTTTCGAGCCTCTGCAGCCCTCCAATTTAGATGGCTTTTCTTTTAGCAAAGAGGCCGCCAACATTCAATTTTGATCATTTATAAAAATTAAAATCGAAATCAAATCAAAATTTTTTAAAATCAAATTAATCTAGGTAAACTAGTTCAATTTAGTTCGATTTAAAATCAAAGAAATCAAATTTTTATTTATTAGTATACTTATTTCCGTTCAACTAGAAAATATATATTTTTTTATTTTGAGACGTAAAAAATAAATATTTTATTAAATAATACTCTTACTTTTACACTAAAAAAAATAAGAATAAAAATATCATTATATTACTTTTAATTCACGCCAAAAGTAAATGTTTATATTGTAGGTGGATGGAGGGAGTATATTTTTAATATACAATCAAATATAAATACTCAAAATTATAATATGTATAAGATTTATTAATATATAATTTATTATTATTATTAAAAGTTCGGTTTTCTCGGTTAACCAAAATTTAAAATTAAAAACCATAACCAAATCGAAACTGAAATTTATAAATTCGATTTTGGATCGAACGAAACCAATTAACCAAAAAATACAAACCAAACGGTCCGAAGCTGAAAAAAAATTCGATTTTTTCGATTTGAACCGACTAATGCTCACACCTAGAGGCTCTTCTATTCCCCACAAAAAAAATACTTCTTCGGTGCGCCTAAATTTATTATCACTTTCTCATTACTAATTTTGGTAAAGTGAACAAATAACATTTAATTATTACCCACCATTCAACAATTATTTACTACAAATCATATTAACTTTATTACATTTCTTCTCTTCATTTATTTTAATTTCTAACTAAATTTTCAAAAATACCTCAAACTATCTATTATATTTTTATTTTTTCAATAAAATATTCATATTTTTAAATCTCTAAAATGTGCTAATTTTAATGGACGGGGGAATAGAAAAATTAATACACAATGGTTTATATTTACTACTTCATCCATCCTAATACAATCGTCTTTGTTTACCATTTTTGTTCGTCCCAAAACAATAATCTCATTTCCATAAGTACTCATATCACCATAAAATTTACCATATTTTTTCGTTATTATTATACAAATACTGCTATTTTTTACACTAATACACTCACAACTGAAAAAAAAAAAAATTACTCATATTTTTTACCGACTATCAATATAATATCATTATTCTTTAAATCGTGTGTCTAATACAAATAGGACTATAGTTCTGAAACGGAAGAAGTATTTAAAATCTGGTGCTCCAACAAAGCCCAGTGAAACAGAGGCAACACGAGGCAACTTTTTTTCTCTTTTTTTTCCTTCTGATCTTTCTTCGCTATTTGATTATATTTTGAGACGGGTGACAAAATAAACTAGCAATGAACTTCAACAATAAACAAAACAGATCAAATAGCTTCGGGCTCTGTCGGTTTTCTCCCGGGAACCGGCGGCTGCTCGGGCTCCATCAATCTACACCGAAATAGCTGCAAGTGCATCGATCGTCACCGGACCAATTTCATTATTGTGCAATACATAAAATTAAAAGCTACCAAAAATCTTTGCTTGGACGCATAAGCGACATAATGTATATGAGGTTTTATTTTAAACGGTTTATTGCATATGTTCTTAGTTCCAATTTTTACAGAACTTGTCCATTTATGGTTCAAACAACTGAGTATTTATTTAAACTATTATTTATTTATTTTGATAACGTGAGAATCCGCAATCGCTACCGAAAGTGAACACTGGGTAAACTCCCGGCCGGTGCTTCGAGGTTCGAAAAGATTAACACACAAGTGACTGTTCGAACCGAAACCGTTGGAAGTTCGAACATTCTGTAAGAGCGGATTCTTTTTATTATTATAATCTATATTAATTTTAATTTTAATTATTAACTACTTAAATTATAATATACAAATTAATTCTAATTCTAATTTTAATTCTTAACTAATAGATTGATAAAAAATTTATGTTAGAGATTTTAAATATTATTTATATATTTTCTTGTCTCAACTCAATAAATAATATTCTCCTTGTTCCACTCAAATATATCAATTTGGAGTTTTAATTAAATAATAGAAATGTGTGAGAAATTTTAACATTTTATTTTATGTATAGAGTAATTGTATCTGTATATTATGTTTGAAATTTAATAAAAAATTAATGGTATTTTTGTATTAGTGTATGATTATTTTTACTAAAATACAAAATGCATACTTCGAAGTGACGAAAATGGTAAAAATGTACTTTGACTTAGGACGAATAGAACAATATTTTATTAAATAATTTTGACATTTTCGCCCTTTGTACTTTATATGTAAATTAATTATATGTGTAATGATATATTTATAATTTAAGTAAAAATTAAAAAATATTTTGCTATTAATATAAGATTACTTTTACCATATTTGAAAAATTATACTTTTGAGCTATGAACGGAAATAATAAAAGAAATATTTTAAATTGAGATAAATGAAGTATATATTTTATAATAATAAAAAAATTTAACGAATTAAAATCAGAATCAAAATTAATCATAAAAATAAAAAAAAAAGAAAAAGAAAAAGAAAAAGGAAATCAGTAGTTCAAAACCATAATCGAAAGTCCGCCAAAATCTTAATTGGGATTTGAAAAATTCAACATCAGTTCAACTTTTTGGCAAATTGAAACTGACGGTTTCAAATTGTAACCGCAAGTTTAGGCTAAACCCAATCCATTGGTAAATGACGACGATCATTAGACTAACCTAAGGATTTTTTTAGTAATATTACAAGATATAATTTTTTTTATTTATTTTTTTTATAATCAATATATAACTAAAAATTAAAACAAATATATCATATAATTTAAATAATTATTATTCTAAAATTAACAAATAGTGCATAAAATAATTTAAAAGTCTAAATACCAATCAGTGTTTTAAAAAAAATTATAATAGCAATTAATCAACTAACAGAAAAATATTCAATTGTCGCAGATATATTTTTTTCGAAAAGTATATAATTCTGCGAAAAATTTAATAAATTGTTACGGAAATTTTGCGAAATTAGTTCCGCGCTAGATTCTCCGTGAGAATGGATATTGCCGTGGAGAGTTGTAACAAATTGTTGCAACCTTCTAGGGCAACGCTAAAATGCATTAATGATATTTTATCGCAAAAGATTGCAACAAATTATTGCAAACAAAAACAAATTATGGCCGAGACAATTTAAATAGTAAAATTAAATATTTTTTTAAATAGTAAAGAAATTTTAAAATAAAATATTCACATAAATATATTTAAATAGTAAAATGAAAAAAATACATTCAAATCAATTTTAATGTCAAATGAATATATTACTAAGGAAAAAAAATATTATACAAAAATTTTAATAATATTGAATAGGGGAATAGTTTCGTCATCGTCGTTTTCATATTCATCATCCTCCTCGTTCCGATAATACTATCCACTTCACTCGCTTCACCGGTACGACTTTCACTTTCCTCTCGACGCATTTGATAAGGATCAAATGGACTAGCCATTCGGGGATAATATTACTCTGGTTTGTGAGGAATAGAATTATTGAAAATTGTTATATATTTTGGCCCGTGATTATTGAGGCCTAGAATGCACGCAACCGATCCGCCCAAATTAAAGCCCAGACCCGGCAACCCACTACCCGACTCAATCTCTGAGAGACCCGTCGGTTTATGGCTCTGAACCGGGTCCGCTACATATATATATATATATAGCAGTCCTTAAACCGATCCAGCAAGGAATTCATTCATTCAGAGAACAATACAGAACAGAACCTTTTCGCGATTCTCTCAAGCCCTAGTTCCGACGCGTTCCGATCGACCTCTGCCTGCCTTCTCCGGTGAATCTGTCCGGCGATTTGGGAGTTTCTTCTTCCCCGTTGAGGCGCGTCTCTTCCCTCGGTGTTTCTACGGTTTGGTTTGCTCGATTTATGCCTTATTGTTGTTCGCGGTGTAACTTGTCTGCGATGTGGGTTTAGGCTTAATTTCGGCAATGTTTCCTTAGATTGGTTCGGTTTAGCGTGTTTGTTGCGTTTCCGTGGCGTGTCGTTTGTGGTTGGGTCTTGAATGTGTGTTTGATGTCGGTTGGTTTGATATTAGGGTAAATTGAGTTCGAACTGTTGCTTCTGTAATAAATCGAAGTTTTCTTTAAGTTTTCTTCGATGTTGATTTGATTTCGAGTGAATATAGCCTATTGGATCTTGGATTAGTAATAACAAAAATTTTAAAGTGCATACGAAGGAATTTCGTCACCTACAAAAAAAAAAAAAATTAAAAATTAGAATTAAAGTTTAAAATAAAATCTATCAATAATATTAAAACAAAAAAAAAAAGAAAAAAAAAGAAAGAAGAAGACAAATCTGATCTAATATTTGAATCGTCGCTCGCAACTCTTTCTTAATATTCAAATGTCCATCCATTGATATACTTGAAAAAGATGCAGATGCAACATATTGTGAACAGGAAGGTCGAAGTTGAACCTTTGGTATCTTTCCCCTAGAACCAAGTCCCGGGACACGACCTTTTGTGTTGAAACCACCAAAGGAACTAACAAGTTTTTCTAGATCCAATTCAAAAGTAGAGCTACATTCATAAAACTTTTGTAGCTCCGACTAAGAATTAAAAATTTTGAAACCATTATATTCTATTACTCAATATAAAAAAACATATATTCTAAATAAATTATACTTCGAGAGTTGCAACATCTTGAGTAGGTACTTTATTTTTTTTACTAAAACATTGACGATAAAGTTCTATTTCTGTTGGTGTGCGTCCTAATTCGCTACTCTTGTA